AGCCTCAGGTGTTCACCGTCAACAGCGACAGCCTCAGGTGTTCACCGTCAACAGCGACAGCCTCAGGTGTTCACCGTCAACAGCCTCAGGTGTTCACCGTCAACAGCCTCCGGTGTTCACCGTCAACAGCGACAGCCTCCGGTGTTTGTTTCAAAAATAGTTTTGTTTAAAACAAGCTTCATGGTCCACATTTAACTCCATAGATTCTAAAACGTGTATTTAAACATGTTAAAAATCTATTTCAATTATTCATTTTCATTTTTAACCTCCATCAAATAAACATTTTTTACTCTCAGTCCCTGTAAATAAACTAAACGACCACGACCTGCAGGCAGTAGCATCAGTGAACAGAAATGTTCAGGTTTAAACTCACGCTGCGGTACATTCGCGCCGGGTGTGGCAGCACCAGCCTGTGGACGCTCTGATTGGTGCAGATGAGGATGATGATGTTGTTCAGGGTCTCATGGATGCTGACTCCTCCTGGCAGGACGCTGCAGCGGCTGAACTTCAGTCTAACAGAGTTATTCAGGAGGTTGGTGTCCAGAGACTGCTCCACCAGCTGCACAGAGTCAGCCGATGTCGACCTGCAAACACAAGGTGGGCTGAGACTCAAAGCGGTCTGAACACAACCCACCTGATGGACTTCAGACTCACCAGTGAATAAATCTGTTGCTGGTAACCGACAGCAGCTTGCCGCTCTCCTCATAGTGAAACGCTCCAGCACTGTCTGCATACTTCAGCCCACCTGGAGGAGCACTCACACCTGCAGACAGGAAGTACAGGTGACAGCTCAGCTCTGACACTGCTGTTGTTGTTGTTAATGAACCTGACAGGTGAAAACCCTGGGAGCTGAAAGTAGAAGTTGTGATAAACAACCAGAGGTCATTTTAACCCAAATAAACATTTTAAAGTCAGGAAACAGCGTTAAATTAACTAACAGCCTAAAATTAGACAAATTTTGAACAGAGTCTGGTGTGTCCGATTATGGAAACATGAGCCGGTACCTTAATTATTACCTGTTTAACATTCAACAGGTCACGCAAACTGACGGCAGCCAGCTGTTAACTCACCTGCTCAGGTGTAGCTGCCGCGAGACGTTCACACCAACAATCAAAACACGCGTGAACAAGCACGAGCAGCTAACTGACCTGCTAGTTAATGTTAGCATAAGCGCGTGGAGTTCCTGTAGCGTAACCGTAAAGTTAAAGTAACACGACGGTTTCGTCCGTGATCGGGGTTTGTCTCGCGCTCACCTGGGCTTACAGTAATCTCTCGGAATCGCCGCTCCGCTTCCCGCTCGAACCCGCAGAACTCCACGAAGCTCCGTTCTAACACCGCCGCCATCTTCTCCTCGGAACCACGTGACCGGCGCAGCTGCGCGCGCTGCGCTTTCAAACTTGGCTTGTGTGCGCATGCGCCGCGCTGCCGTGCTCCTACGTCACGCAAAGTCGCCATATTGGGGAGGTTTTACGTGCCAGACGTGTAACGTGACAAAAGAGGTGTAATCTGACTTACTGTATCGTTTTAGACAATCAGTTTAATATCAGAAACCTGTAAAATTTACTATTTACCTAAAAGTGATTTTAGTGATCTATTCTTGCTGTATTCATATGGACAGAACCACGGTGCTCCCTTTTGGTCAGAGCGGCAAGATACATATCCGCCATATTGGTGAGGGAAACACCAGCTTGTATGGCCACTTCAAGCAGGGGTTCTCAAACCTTTTGGGTCTGGGGAACACGGGCAAAAAATTCCCAGGGACCCCCTCATAAACTTTATGCTTTTTAAAAAGGTAATTTACTGTCATTTCACCCCCTGAATGTCATGGGAATATATTTATTTAGTTTATTATGTTTATTAGTTCATTGCTCCCCATGCAAATAAAAAAAAAAACCAAATTAACAATTTAGTACAATTTTTTGAGGACCCCCAAGATACCTCTTGCAGACCCCTGGGGGTCCTGGGACCCCAGTTTCAGAACCTCTGATTTAAAGGAACTAATGAAATTAGGTTTACCAGGATTTAAAGATAATTTAGGGTTTATATTTTAATAAAAAATGTTTTGTAAATTTATTACTTCATTATCTACATGGTGTTAAAATATGTTTTGTTTCTGGTGACCTAAAATTTGATAGTGAGCCATAAATAAAATGAACAATAACACATATTTTTTTCTAGTCTTTCAGTGTTGGGCTTGTCAAGAAACACATTACACTAAACAAAGTATTTATATACACCAGAAAACTGTTAAGCATGAATTTGTCTTATAAACATTGTCATTATTGGTGAGAAACACCTGCTGCTCAGAGTCCAGGATGTAGCACTGGGTAGAGACCCCAGGGCAGACCCACAACTCTCTGGTCTGGGAACACCTAGGGTTCCCAGTTTCTCTCTTGAACCCAGTGACAGAACCAGGCTTAACCAGCAGGGGTCATCAGAACCAGGGCCATGAAAAGAACTGGACTAGACAGATAATTTGAGGTTGTGACAAAGTGATTGTGTGACTGCAGTTTGTTGTGGTCAGTGAGGAGGCGGAGCTCTTGGCAGTGAGTACCAATAGAAGCGAACCTTTATTGTGTTGTCTTACAGCAGCACAGTGACTCGTACAAAAAGATAAATGGAATGTTGTTCAGTAATACTGACGTGTACCATATAGGGAAAGCAGTCTGTGACATCATCACCATCAGAGGTATTACATAGTACCAGCTCACTCGCACAGGTGAGACCACAGGAAGTCACGTTTCCTGTCTGTTTGGAGCCCGAGTGCGGCTCCGCGCGTGTCACGCCGCGCTCTTGCTCGGCAGCTCCGTGCTGTTGTGTCTAGTCTTGCGCGACGTGCCGTCGTCCCGCGGCCGCGCTTTCTGCAGGCTGGACATGGCGGCGGTGCGTTCAATGTCAATGAGAGCGTAGGGCTCAGTGCGTCGTGTGGGCGTGGTCGGGGGCAGCGGGGATGTCGGGGTGCGGGGCGTGTGGGGGTCGCTGCCGTCCGAGGCGCCCTTGTTCCCGCCGCTCCGGTCCATCTCCACCTCGATGTAGTTGAGGATTTTGGGCGCCTCGGCGCTGGCCGGCAGCGGCGGCCGGCGAAAGTCAAAGTTAAAGATGGTGGGCCCGTCGGCGCGGCGGCGGGCCGTGTCGGGCCGCTGCGCGCTCAGCGGCGCGGTCACATTCTCCGTGTTGACGTAGTTGTGCGAGGGCTCGCACAGCGCGGGGTTCAGCGGGTGGGGCAGCAGGGGGTACGGCGTGTGGAGGTCGAAGCCATTGAGCGACGGCGTCTCCAGACCGTCGGCGGCGCCGCCCTCCTCCTCGCCGCTCGGTTTCCTGGCCTCCCACACCGGAGGGAGCGCCGGCAGGTTCTCGTAGTCCAGCAGGGCGGTGCGCCGCTGGGCCGAGTTGTTGACATTCTGCACGTCGGGGGTGAGGGGGGGCGGGCGATTGCGACGGGGGGCCGTGGATGGATTGGAGGAGGAGGAGTCGTTGGAGTGTGTGGGCGGCGGCTCGCCCTCAGCGGGGGTCTGGGCGGGGCTGTCAGTCTCTTGGGGCTCGGCGGCGTCCTGCAGCTCCTGCTGCCTCTTCTTCTGAACGGGAGTGGGGCCCAGCACGAAGCGCACCCCACGTAGCTCCACCAGCACCTGGGGCTCCAGCTCAGTGGGCGGGGCCTGAGGCTCCGCCCGCACCCTGGGAGGCGGCGGAGGCGTGGGGGGACCCTGGGCCAGCGGGGAGGCGGGGCTCTCCAGGGGAGTGGTGACCGTGAGCGGGCTGGGCTGCTCCTCCAGGAGCCCTGTGGTGTTCACGTAGGTGTGCACCTGAAACACAAAGAGGGGGCGTGGTCACACGGGTCAGGTGACCAGAGAGAGTCAAACAGGTGAGCTGAGCCTCTTACCGCCTCCTCTGCCACCAGCAGTGGGTGAGTAGACTCCTCCCCCACAGACGGCAGACGGGTGCTGGCCACAGACGGGTGGCGGGTCGACGGGTGAGACGGCGCCTCCCCCACCGAGGGCAGTCGACTCACCCCGTTAGGCACCGTGGGTACGGAGTAACCCAGAGCTGCAAACAGACACACACCTGAGTGACATCATCAACATGCGACCTCCACAGCAGGAGCTGATGTTTAGCCTTTTTTTTAAAATCATATTTAAGTCTTTTATTGTGAAGGACTGGGAGGCAACAGCACCGGCCGACACGTCAGCTGGCCGTGTTCACCTGAACAACCAGGTGTGTACCTGCAGGAGTGAGCGCCCCCTGCTGGTTGGGGTCCTGCACCGCCTCCTCCACCACGTTGATGCTGTGATTCTGCATCACCTCCTGCAGCATGTTGAAGATGTCTTCGGCTCGAGAACATTTGAAGGCAAAAATACCTGAAAAAACACAAAACAACAACAATTTACAGGCAGATCAAAAACACAACACACTTACAACACGACAACGTTTACACCACAAACCAACCAGACGAGGAGGAAGGAGGCGGAGCTTTGTCCTGTTTGATCAGCTGATAGGATTGAAAATATTCATGTATTTACTCCTCGTTCATGTGTTCATCTCGACATTTTATGATCAACAGAAACTGGCTCATGCCCAGTTACAGTTTTTAGTGTGTTTTTTGTTGTGCCTTTACAAACATTTATACAACAAAATATTCAGGTTCTTATTGAAAACCAATCTGATCGTTTTTAGCTAATCTGTTGATTTAAACATGTTTGTGCTTCTATCAGCTTCTTTCGGCTAATTTAAGCTTTCTATGTTTCTTTCAGCTTTTTTTTGCAAATTAAGCTATTTTTAGCTATTTCAGCTAATTTTAGCTTATTTCAGCTAAATTCACCTTTTTGTGATAATTTTAGCTTAATTCAACAAATGTGCTTTTTCTGCTTCATTTTTCTAGTTTCAGCTTTTCAGCTACTTTTCTGCTGATTTCAATTTTTTTGGCTATTTTACAACAAATCACAATATTTGTACATTTTCTGCATTTTCTCAGAAGATCCAAATTCTCCAGTTTTTGTTTGTTATAAGAGGACGGCTGATTATTATCCTGTTATAACATTAATGACACTTGATGACTCATCGCGTTGCCTCGGGTTGGTCAACGAGAACCACCACAGAAGAAGAGCTGCGACTAACGAGCACACTAATCAGCTCTGACCGGGCGTGGCGACTCAGTGAGGCGAGGAGGGAAAACGTGTCAACAACAGGAAACAGGCGGCGAACACACGAGGAGCACAACACAAACACACTTATTGATCCCTGTGAACCCACCACACCACAATCAATACTGATCAGCTGATCACCCCCAACCGCCCGAGACTTACCGACCCCCTCCTAACCCTGAGAAGCTCGCGGTCCTGAAGCGTGCACGAGAAACATCAGAGACAGCTTTAACCTATCATCTGCATCAACCTGCTCTGATGCAAAGTTACCTGCGCAGCAGCACACCTGAGCCACCTCAGGTTCAAACAGGAAGAAAACAAGTTTTTTTTCACACTCTGAATCACAATAAAAGCCTCTTCCTTCCTGGTTCCCCTGACAGCCAGGCAGCGCTCGGACTCGTACCTTGGCCCGTCTGGCAGCGGCGGCCGCACTCGAAGGAGAAGAGGTTGGAGTCGTAGCCGTAGCGGCGCAGGGACACGTAGGGCCACCTGATAACGTTGCGGCGCTGCGTGTAGAGGACGAGCTCGGATTCGGTCACCTCCATCACGCCGGAGCTCAGCTCGTTCCCATCGTCGTCCACATTGATCACCTGACGGCAGACACACACACAAACCACTGAACGACCTGTCAGACTGAGCATCACCTGCTTCAACAGTAGAAACAGGAAGTGGAACAGTTCAACCAGGTCTAGTTTATTCAAGGGCTGTTCAAATAATCCACTGGATTTATTCATGTATAATACAATCATTTCTTTAGCTTAAAAAGTATTAAAAATCTAATCATCAATAACCTGTGTATAATAATACCACTTTATGGGTGAGTTTTAGGGTTAAATTCCTAGTATTATACATGAATAAATACAGTAATAAGATTTTTGATTTAGTATTTAAGACCATCAAAAGAAATGTAATCAGAATCAGAAATACTTCATTGATCCCAGAGAGAGATGACTTTTTTCAGCTGCAACTCTCAAAAAAAGGAGAATAAAGATAAACACTCTAGATTAAAACAAAATAAAATCTAAACACAAAAGAAAAAACCTTTATAAAATAAGTCCAGTATGGTTGGTATCATGTTGTACGAAATATAAACATTAGAAAATAAAAACAGACAGTTTGATTAGGTGTAACGCTTTGCACATAATTAAATAAGTCTCCTAAATGATTGGGGAAAAAACACACACACGTATGCATATGTGTGTGTGTGTATATATATATATATACACA